AAATATGGCAGGCCTCTTTTCAAGACTGCCAGAGAAGGACCGCATGCTGTGCGCAAGGAATCAGGCCACAGAAATCAGGAAAGGATTTTGCTGAAGCTTACAGTGATGTAATACACTGTCCAGGGAGGAGCTCGAGTACGGTTTGAGGTCCAGCCGTGGTTTGCTGGAATCCAGCTCCTGATATTTCCCTCCGTCTGTCATGTACACAGATAAAAACAGACCAACACTGGCCTCACAATCTCAAATGAAGATTCATATAGCCACAAATCATCTGAAACAAATCTCTGCTTTCATGGACAAAGAATTACACTGAAAAAAAAATGATTTTCAAAGTTTCAATAAAGGTTATTGAAGTGCGTTTTACAAAAGAAAAAAACTTCAAAATTTAAATTTAAATTCAAAATGTTATGCTTAATTCAATGAGTTTCTTGCGGTTTTTTTGTAATGAGTAAAATTAACCAGTAATTTCTGAGTGAGTATTTTTTGTAGTGTACTGCCCTGAAATTATGACATCTTCAATAATGACGTAGTACTGAGTTGATCAATGATCACTAGGGTTGCAAAAAGGTGGAAAATTTCCAGTAAATTTTGGAAACTTTCCAGGATTTGTTTTTTGAATATTCCAGGGATTTTTGGAAATTTACCGGAAATTTGCCATGCCTTTGCAACACTAACGCTCACATAAAAATATTAATACTAAGAGTTTTAAACTACTGAATTAGCATTAAAATCAATACATACAATTTTTTTAAAGCTTTGTTTTGACAGACAGAGACACAACCTAGAGTTATTTTCTCTAGATAAAGGCAAAAACAAAAGCTAAATTTGACATTTTTGGGAGTTTGTGACATTTGTAAAGTTTATTTAAAGCTGCAGTCTGTAACTTATTTTTGGTTAAAAATGATCCGAAATCAATATTTGTGAGGATCCTGCAGGTGGAGGATCGTTTATAGTCTTTTCTCACAGCAGCTGGAATAATTAAATGTATCATTTTGATGTTTTTGAGTTAAAATAATTTCTTAATATGAAATTCAAAGAGTATGACAATTAGATTAGACTGTGCACACACTACACTCATAGTCACCAATGCTGATGTTGTTAACACTAATCATTTCAGAATAAAGTATAACAATAATAATAATTTGAATGGTTTGATGTGATATGAGCTAACCGATCTTTAGATTTAATCACCATTGGTAGCGAGATTTATGGTAATGCTTTTTTCCTCAGTTGGTCAGAACAAACGTGGCAGACTTGTTACTTACTTATTCAGACGGCAATATACGGTGAAAATTCTTATTTGGGTCATATATTCCAAGACGCAGGCTAGAATCTGTGATTGCGAAGTACAGTAAATATCCACTCCGGAGCGGTGACTGACCGCCACACATACTCTTCAGAACATTAGATTCATCCGCTAGGCTAATAATTTGCACTTTATACCTATTAAATATTAAAATGATGGTTTCCAAAATGCTGAATGGCTATAATTACTTATTTGATCCACAGAAATTGAACAAAAAAAAAATCAATTTAGTTGGAGCATCCGTATTAGCACTGATCAATACTTGATTACTATGAATTGATTACTTGAATACTATTCAATGGGTATTTAATCTTTATGATTAATCACAAATAATCCTGATTAATATCTTATAATAATAATAGGCCAAATGACCTTTCACAGGCAATGACAGGTAAAGTGGGTTTTTCCAGCAGAGAGCTGAATCATAATGAAGAATATACTCATAATCCTCAAAGGATTACAGCAGTAATCTATAATAAGGCTCATCATAACACAGAGGAAGAATTTACAATTATTGGACGTGTTCCAGGAAATGAGATGGCTTTAAAACTAATTGTTCAGGCTTACTGTAGTTAAACTGAGTCAGTTCGATAAGCAGCCCGAATTACGTGCAAACTTTTAAAATGATCCCTAATCATTCAAAACGTTATGGAACGCTGCCTGACTTTGTAGAAAGTCGATTTAAAAGTGACAGTTTTAGCCTTCACTGGCAGTAACTTCATGTCTTTCCACTCCAAACACAATCCGTTCACTAGCGCTCTCTCCCTGCTACTGACAACCGGCTTAGATACACTTTTTCCCAGCTCTACTAACTGGAACAAACATTTTTTAAATCAAATGAACTCACATTTCCATTCTGCAGAATTACATCAAATAAATAAAAAAATATATAATAGCGCACATAATGAACTCTCATAACACATTCAGGCCCAGTTTAACCCAGAAGAGATTTCTAAAAACAACATAGTTTTTTAGTATGGGAACAAAACTTTGCAAATGCTTTAAGACTAGGGTTGCAAACTAAGGGGCAGAAGCTTTGCATCCTGGAAATTTCAGAAGCTTTCCAGAATTTTTTGGAAACCTTTAGAAAATTTTGTGAAAATCTAACAGAAATGTTCCACCCCTTTGCAAAACTAGTTGAGACCCTCAATGTACACTTTTTTTTTTTTTGCCAAGATAATAAACTGTAGCTACTAGTGTAAAAAGTAAATATATAGCCATGTACACACTCTGCTGATAAATTCAGTAATTTATGTGAGTGATAAAACGCATTCTAGAACAGAATTAACTCTGTTAGGGACTTGTCTCTCTTTTGTATGTGCGTTGCAAGAAAGTGACAGGGAAAGAGGTACAAATCTTTTGATTAATTTGCACATTTTAAGACACAGGTCTGTCATTCTTCACAGTTGGGAAAATAGCAAAGTAAAATTTAGTTAAGAATTTATTTATAAATTATGGATGTAATGAATCTTTGATCAGTAAACATATATATTTAAAAAAAAAGTGAAAACCAAGATGTTTTTGGAGCTTGGTTATATAAATGCATTTTTTTTTGTACTGAGGAGGATGTTTTAATGGTACAGAGACCTCTTACATATCAAACAACCAGGGAAAATATGATTTCTCATGACCCTTTGAGATTACTCTTTACTGTAGTAAAATGCTGTGGTCTTAATTGCACCATTCTGTCTACTGGAGTACTCAACAGATAAATCAAACCCAAACTGAGCTGAGGTTAATGGTGTTGAAAAGTTTGTTAAAAAAAAAAAGAAATGCTGTTTTTTCAAGCGTCTCATATTTCCAGAAGAAACTCACAGAAATATGCGTCTCGCTGCTAGAAGATGAATGCCAGATGAAAACAAACATTGATGTACAAAGAGCTGAGTGCAGATCCAAACCTCCCAATTCCCAAAGTTATAAAAGATAAACCAAAATCAAAACATAAAAATTGACTAAGTGTCAGCTGATCAAAGCGGCACATTGTAGGGAAAGAAAAATTATTCTAAACTCATCTTGGAAGGGAAAAAAAATCCTCCAATTGCCAAAAGAAGTAATAGCAGTTAGTACTAGTAGTCAGTTCACTAAAAGACCTGCGACATGCAAGGCATTTCTGGAGAATCAACGTAAATTAATATACTAGAACATACATTAAAATCCAATCCAGATCATATAAGCAAAAAATACATGTTATTTTGAGAAACATTCTTTCGGGCCAGCTTTTGTGGCTGGAGATACGGCTTGTTTCAATGATGAATGAGAGTGAGGCAAAGCCGTGTATAAGATGGATAAATCATATCTCTGGTGTGCTTGAGGACATCTTTCCCATGGAAATGCAGTGATAATTCATTAGAGCTGTGTCACATATACATGATTCAGACATGAGCTAGCAAGCGCTAAAACAAAACAAAAGACAAGTGCAGCATTATACAGTTTCACACCAAATCAGACTCATCCAGACAATGGGACTATGAGAAATGTCACTCCATTGGACAATGTGCACAATATATGCAACACATGAGTTTGCAACTCCCAGAGTTTGTCAAATCAGCAAATCAAGTGAATTATCGCAACTGCAGGTCTAACATCTTCACAGATTGCATTCTGCAGTTTTCATCTTTTGGCTTTGCCAGGTTTATAAAATAAAATAAAATAAAATAAAATAAAATAAAATAAAATAAAATAAAATAAAATAAATAAAATAAAATAAAATATTGGCTGCATCTCAATATGCATAATTCCCTACTATAAAGTAGGGCTGTATATGTCCAAATTCACAGTATTCATAAAACAGTAGGCTGACCTATTAATTCCCAGATGATACTGAAGAGCGCATCCAAAGGACACTTTACTATCCTGTGAGGCCATGGGAGAGGATTTATGAATGACACCAAAGTGACGCAACTGACTGGCAGATCACATGACAATAACAACATGAGGAATGTAGTTCAGCCGGATTACATTCATACTACATAACAGTCGTGAAGCAATGACTTATTCAAAAGAAGCACCTACTCAGGGAGAATCTGAATGTTTTGATGTGATTTGAGTGATTTTGATTGTTTTTATTCAATTCTGTAGAGCAAAAACACACCTTTCTTTACAAAAGTACTTGACAATTTATTTTCATCACACTAAAAACTTCTTTTTTTTTTCAAATTACAGCTGGCTACTGAGGTAGTAATAACTGTTCTTACCCCTCATAGAATACACATTTTTGTTACATTAATTTTCTGTCTTTTATGACTTGACCTACACTGCAAAATGAATAATTTACATCATGTTCAAACCTCGTTACAATGAAAGGATCCACGAGAGTTCAGATCTCTGGCGTTTTGTAAGAAAATATTGCTGCTGAAAATATAACATGCATGAAATAACCCCCATATAGCATACATGAATCAGATCTATACAGGTGGAGCTGGGGAAGGTGGAGGGTTTCTGAAGCAAGCTACAACTGCTACGGCAAGCACTAGTCATATATTTGAATGTTGAGCAGCGAGCTCATTGGCTACCGATACCGGGGAGGACCAATCAGCTGTGCCATGTGATAATGATGTCATTAGGTCAGATTGAGTTAAACCTATCGGACTGAGCCATCTACAGTTTCATGCCAGAACTCTGTATTTGTATGACATCTCTAAAAATGTCACTTTATGATTCCAGCAGGCTATAGCGTCTATAGAGATGGTCTTACCTTCTGAAAATTGTATGAAAATCACAGTTAACACAAGTCCATGCACCAGGGGACATTTCCACAGTGAAGTAGCCATTTTGGTTATTCAAGAGCGTCTCCAGATGCCAGACAATAGTTTAGATTGTAAAGAGGATCTAGACAGTATGCAGGCCACGCAGACATCAGCAATCTGCTGCTCTCCACCCTTCACCATTCATGCTCCATCTGAAAGCACATTAAAGACAAAATAATTAGCAGTGTGAATTGGGATCACCAAAATAGAAAACATATCACATGAACATCAAGATGAAAAAGCTCAAAACACTCCACGTCTGTGATCGGATTGATGTGTTAGTAAAGGGATTGATGGCTCAATTGGACTGAAAAGACCACAATCGATCCGATTGGAGGAGGCGTAGACCTGAAATAATCCAATCAAAAGGAAAAAATAAGCATGCAAATGTTTAAATCTGGCTATTTTCTGAATCCGATTCAAAAATACGCTACAGAGATTAAATCTCTGATTCTGAAATCACATGGGTCATTCTGTGTGAACTCAGCCAGAGGTCCCCGGCTCAAATTTTTGATTTTGTCAATATTTTCTAAAGAAAGATAAACATGTATAGTGATGAAAGCCAAAATATTAAATGTCATGGATGTATATTTACTGAGCAATCCACTATTTTGAAGAGGGGGGTCAAAATGGCAATTCGAAGCCAAATTACAAGGGGGTAAAAATGACTTCAGAAAGATGGCAGCATCACAATGTTATTTCTACAGAGAGATTGGTAGGTCTGTTAGGAAAATCTGTTGACTTTAGCAATCTTTGTTGCATTATGTGCCAATGGTGACAGTTCAAAAATGGGAAAAAGCACTTTTCAAATTTTTTTTCTCCAAAGTTTGGATGCCTGTAACTCAAGTAGTATTAAAGATATCTTAATGCCCTTTTAGATGTTGCGTCTTAACAAACGTGTCTTTTGGCATCTTCATTTTTAAGGCCCTATATTGTTCAGTTCCAGAGATACTGGAATTTCAATATGGCTCCAGGAGTAAATTCTTAAATTGTACTCATTTTCAGTGGTCAAAAACCAAATGTTGGTCACTTTGCACACAGATGATCCTTATTTCTTTTATAAAGGAATGCATGAAGAACAAATGTGGAAATCAGAAATGTATCTTGTTTCCTTCAATCAAAACAATTGCATGGGACATACCTGTCCGAGTGCCATAAATATTGCGTGCATGTAACTCAAGAAGAATTAGACTCTGGTTGCTAATAAACTTTTCTTTTGAAATCGTAATTTTCAAGGCCATATTTCATTCAGTCACCGATACAGGGATTTCAATGCAGCTCCATATTCAGATTGTCGAAAAAAAACTAATGTTGGTCATTGCATACAGCTGACGGTTATTATATTTAAAGGGGAATATCTGAAAAATCTGATCTTGTTTCCCTCTATCAAAACAACTGCATAGCATTTGAAGGCCCTGCCCCTTTCTTTACACATTTACTATTTGGTAACAGTTTATCTTTATAGTCCACTTCAGACATTCTACTAGAAGTAATTTTATAAGTGCTTGTCAACGTATTCTACTAACACTAACCATAACCTAACAGTCTACTAATACTCTAATGAGAGTTAGTTGACATGTAGTTGCAAAGTTACTTCCATAGTAGGGCTGCACGATTTTGACAAAAATCACAATTGTCGATTATTCCCTTGAAATTGTAATTGCGATTATTAATTACGATTATCACAATTTACATTGAATGATGTTTACACCATTGTTTGATGCAACTGCATGCCGTATTTTTATATGAAAATAAACAAGCTGAAAACACTCTAACTGAAAAACCTTTAGTGCTTTTCTATAGTATTAAGCCTCAAATGTCAAATATACATTGGATTGGTTTCTTCTTTAAATTATAAAAAAGTAAAAATATGAATGGTATTATAATGTTATACTAAAACTAAAACAATGGAAAAACCCTTAAGATAACATGTAGAAAGAAAAAACATCTTAAGCGTGCAGAATAACATAAGTGGACTTTGAACGATTAATTGCCGCTTTGAATGATAATTGTGGCATCCATAATTGTAATCGCGATTAGAAATTCGATTAATTGTGCAGCCCTATTCCATAGTGAAGGAATCAGCCAGTGTAATTATGCTTTCCAAGTCGGTCACGCAACCTGCTGCAGAGACGAGAGGGCACGAAGCTAATCATAACCACCAAATGTATCTGAGCCATTTGAATTCTACCCAGAATATTCTGTTTTAAATTGCATTGGAGGAGATCAAACATCTCGACCAGTTAAACAGCCTCTGCATTATAAACAGCATTGACAAAAAGAGCTAACACTGATGCCCAAACAACTCGCTTATCAAACTACACATCATAACCATTACTAAAAATGAGCACTGTTTAGATGTAGTAAGAGTTTTATTTCAAATCTAAAGAGAGAATCTATTAGACTCATTTTGATCAGGACTGTGGCTGTCACAAGCTATTGAATGCAGCTTTGCCGGGCTGTAAATGTAAATGAAACCCTGATATTTTAAAAAAAGGGACAAGCTCTTCGATGTCCCACCCTGACTTCGTGTTTCAATCAGAATTACATTAACACATAAAGGAAAACTGCGTGACAAGGAGTGAGCATTAAATGACTGCAAAGATAAATCTACTTGTAAAAACTGAGGATATGAGTAGGGTTGCAAAAAGATGGTCCACTTTCCAGTAAATTTCGGAAACATTCCAGAAATTTTGGAAACTTTCCTTGATTTTTTTGGAATATTCCAGGGATTTTGGGAAAGTTTCCGGAAATTTTCCACCCCTTTGCAACCCTGGATATGAGCAAAATTAAACATCCAACATCAGTGATACAGAAAAACATCATTACCAGCCAAAAAACAATATGGTTTCCAGAAATAAATCTTGTCAAGCTTGTCAAATCACCTTGTCAACCAATACAACAGAGGCAAACAAACCAAAGAATAATGGAACACAAACTTGTTTTACTTTACGCAAGATGAAAGCACCCATCTCATATCAAACCATCTCATACCAAAATGTTTCTGAACTTCACTGAGTGTGAGAAAGGCTGGCAGAGTGTAAATCAATCTCAATTACAAGCCAGATTTTTTTTTTACACAAAGTGCTGCTTGTCTGTGCAAAACTCACAGTCAAAACACTAGACTGTTATGACTCAGAAGAAGAGGCTGTTTTACAGAAACACCCTAATGCAAAATCATATCTTATCTGTTTTGTATCCAATGCCATTTCAGTTAGGATCTATCTAAATTTGGAATATATGGTATTAAAAGAAGCATTTTGTGCACACAAAGGCTAAATATATTTATTGAAAAATACAATATAAACTAATATTGTGAAACACCCTTTTATCAATTCAAAATAGCTCTTGTTGAAATGTTGAATGTTGAAAACAGTTGTGCTGCACAATAGTTTTGTGAAAGGTGTCATACACTACCATTTAAAGGTTTGTGGTGAGAAAGATGAACTTTTATTGAAACAAGGATGCATTAAATTGAAATAAAGTGTCAGTAAAGATATTTATAATGTTAGATTTCAAATAAATGCTGTTCCTTTGAACTTTCAATTCATCAAAGTATCTTGAAAAAAATATATCAGTTTTCACAAAAACATTAAGCAGCGAAAACGGTTTTGAACATTGATAATAATAAAAACCATTATTAATTAAGTATCAGTAATTATTAGAATGATTTCTGAAGGATCTGGAGTAATGATAGCTTTAAATTAAAGGAATACATTATATTATGTTATTTTAAATTGTAACAATATTTCACTATATCACTACTTTTACTGTATTTTTGAGCTAAAAAAAAAATGCAACCTTGGTGAGCAGAAGAGACTTGGTCAATCTTAATGACTGCAATTTTTTTACCAGTGCAGGCCTCAAAATGGTATCCAATAATAATCCCAATGTGCAACATGCATAATACAATATCTTTTTTCCAGGATACAATGGATTTCAAGCTAAGTAACTCTGGAGCTCTGAGTTGCTTTGACATCTCTAGGCTACCTTTACATTCCACTGTGTTTATGAAGATTACAGACAGATCTCTCATATCCCTCGGCTCACCCTGAGGTACATCATAATTACTGTGGCAACAGGTTCAGTTGATAAACTACTAAAATCACCTCTCTTTTGTGTCTGTTTGCATTTCCCTGTTATCTCACGGGAACAAACACATTCAGACTCTTTGCCCGCATTGGCAGAAGGCAATACCGGAGACCTCGGGGAGCCCGAGCTCATTATAACACAATGCCAAACGCTGAAGACAGATGACATGTCATTCTCACTTTGTTCACAAATTTATTCCCACTGACATGCGCATGTGCACAAACACCCACCCGAAAACTAAATAATACTTTCATCTTCCTCAAAAACATCCACAATGCACTGGCTCGGCGTTTACAGCACAGGTAGGGAATCCTGTGCAGTGGTGCACTTTGAAGTGCCCTTCATCAAAGCGCCCTCATCATCAAGTGCACTGATTACTTCATAATGAACCCAAATATAAACACTGTGCCGTTTTCACAGCTCTACGGATGTGGATGAAAAGAGACAGCAAAAGTTTGAACATACTAACGTTCCATAGAAGACAAAATGAATTATGTTTCATAACAGGAAACGTTTTTGCAGATGCATTTAACATCAGACACTGGTGCAGAACAAAAATTATTCTGCGCAATGTCTACCTTGGCATGCAGGAGGAGTGTTGTTTTAGAAATCAAACACTTGTACTTAACAAAACACAGTTATTGGTAAATAATTAGCAAGGGCACATTGAGCACTGAATAACAACACCGCAAATTCTGAAGCACCCAGAGAATTAAAGAGATGCTCCAGCCCAAAAATGAATTCTCTTGTCATTTAATCACCCTCATGCATCCCAAATGTATGATTTTCTTTCTTCAGTTGAACACAAACTGAGATTTTTTGGAAGAATAATCCATCTCTGTCAGTCCCTATAATGCAAGTGCATTGGTTCCTCAAAGTTGACGCTTCAAAAACCACACAACAGTAATCCATATGACCCCAGTTGATGAATCAGTGTCTTCTGAAGCAAAAAAGGTGTGTGTGAGAATAAAAATGCTATTATTTTAAACTCTTTAATCTATAAACCATCACTTCCAATCAAATGTCATGTATTTTTTTTTCACACACATGATTCTGCTTC